AGTCCATATGTATTATTGTATGGTTTTTCTGTTACTTCTGTAAAGGAATCTGGAGTGAGGACAATTGTAAAACGCAAAAAGACACAATTCAGCCCAGGTATCACTATGTATATATGTGATAAAATATAAGAGGGAGGAAGGGTTGTTAGTCAGAGACCAAAGTTACTCTGGAAAAGACTTGTGAATGTTAATGTTACACCGTTCCTAAGAATGCCACTCTTCATACACAGGGCGACTCCCTACATGGTAAAAGTGTCACAATATCTTTATATTGAACAGGAAAATGTAGTTTAGGTTACTGGCCCCTACCAATACACAAGCATTAACCAAAGCACGGATTGTAGACACCTAACCATGTCTCTGTTGAAGTACTTGTCGATGGCTGAGTGAAATGGAGCATGTAGGTGCTTTTGCTTTTTTTTTCTTGCCATTCTCCCCCTTCTTAGATATAGGCAGGCTATCCAGGGAAGTCCAATATATCTATACCAGTGGATCCTAGAGAACTCAAGATTCTTTACTGTATTCAGAACTCTGGTTCTGGCTGTGATACAGCTGTGACAAATGATGACTGTTCTCTAACATTATTTACTTACCATGCAGCATTACACTTAAGACTTATCTTCATTGCTGCTGATGGCATTGTTACAAAGACAATGACCATATTTAGAGCAACCAGGGTTTTGTGCCTCATATTCTTAAAGATAAAACAGAAAATCTTTCCAGGTAATACCATTGACCCACTCAAATTACATATAAGAATCACTTCACCTGTAAGGTGAACAGTGAAAACTGTTTCTCTGTTTTCCATAGTATGCAGTAGTTCAGTACTCCACCCAGCTGAAAATTCAGGGTGAATTTTTAGATAGACCCAACGTATTTACCCAAACTGTAATTCTACCAAGTGTATAGATAAAAACACCAAACTGAAACCGGATTCTTTTTCTTGGAGAAAAAGAATCCAATTATTAAATCCAATCTCTTTATTTGCTTCCACTCTAGCACACCCCTTAGCCTTTGATGTTACTAAAGCTCCAAAGTTTGTGGACATTTGTTAGTCCCTTGTTTGCTTATAGATTTTCTTGTAAGGTCTGCTCTTTCTTTTATTATTTCCTGGCTCAACTGAGTGTTTCCATAATTCACATAAATCAATATATACTTATGCTTATTTCACCTCAAGAGTGAAAACCAGAAGCATACAAGCAGCCTCATGAAATGTGGCTGTCTAGCAGAATACCTGCATGCATGCATTGCCAGTCACAGGTATCACTGAGGAGGGAGAGAGGCAGTGTATGTGGTGCATACACAACTATGTACTACACATTCAGAGCCTTCCTTGCTTTTCAAAAATCTTGTATGAGCTAAGAACTGCACAGTGAGTATTCATTTATCAACTCACTTTTTTTTTAGTGCCTCGAGCCCCATTTTGATGTTTTTTGAGACATAAATATCTTTAGGCAGGCAAATTATTCCAGTACAAAACAAACCCTTAACATCCAGCGAAACAAATATTGAAGAATCAAGCTATTGCCTCCAGTAGCAATTATCAATCCTGCCATGAGTACCCTGGCTTAGAAGAGGGCTCTTGGAGTTAGAACAAATATATGTATACTGTGCATTGCAGTGGCAGAAAGGGTATTGCTCCTCTATTCTTTTGATGGGAGAACACTTTTTCTTAAGAGTAAGTGAACGATATATTGCGGACAATAGGACTAGCACCCACTGAAAAGTACTATGAGAGAAAGGAAAGGAGTACTTGTGGCACCTTAGAGACTAACAAATTTATTTGAGCATAAGCTTTCGTGGGCTACTTATGCTCAAATAAATTTGTTTGTCTCTAAGGTGCCACAAGTACTCCTTTCCTTTTTGCGAATACAGACTAACAGGGCTGCTACTCTGAAACCTATGAGAGAAAGGTGTGATAAGAATAAAAATATTTAGATTTATAGTGGACACAGTTAATATCCTCTATTGTTAAGGTAACAAAAACATTTCCATTATACCTTTTTGTTTCTAGGCTCTCATAATTTTTGGAAACATTCTCATCTTGGGCAGGTAACTGATTTAACCTCACGCTAGTGATGGTGGTAATAGCTTCTGCTTTATGGGACTATCCCAGTAGTTGAATGGTGATGAAACAGCTGTGAAATTCTTAACTCTGACCTTTTTGAATACACAAATTCGAAATGAAGAGTGCCTAGGAGGCTCCACTCATGGATGTCTCACCTCTGGTGGCTCAGTCAAGGATAGCAGCCTCATCATTCCAGATTATGGATATGCCTATTTTATATGCTAGTGCGGCCCACCTTTTTTTTCAGTGAAAAATGCAGATTCAGTAACACTAAATCATTTTGTGAACTTGTCGGTTGTGCTGAGTTGTTCATTTTGAGGGAGACGATCAGAAAGAATCTAAACGTTTAGACATTTTCAAAATGAAACATTTCAGTTTTTTATCTGAGACAAACTTTTGTTTCAAAATGTCCATATTGTTTTAAAATTCACAACCTATTAAAATGGTAGACATTGAAGCCAAAAGTTTAGATTTTGCTGAAACAAAACACTTTATTCAACCTGGAAATGAATTTTTTTTTACTTCAAAATTGCCACTGAATTAAAAAAATCTGTTGTTCATCCTGCTCTGGTTACATGTCCCCTCTGTGACAATCCACAGAGAATAGGACTCTGTTAGGGTATGTCTATACTGCCTGCAAAGCCCAGGTCTGACTCCAGTTTGAGCACAACCTCTCTGTCTGTCCTCATGTAAATCAGTCTGACCCAGATCAATAAGCACTCAGAACCCAGGTCCTAGGGCCCTGCTCACGGGTGGTAGGTCAGAACCTGAGTCCCACTGAAACTGTGGTCCAAGCCCTGTCATTTTGCAGTGTGAGTGCAGATCAAGCTGCTAGACCCAGGTCAGAAGGTCTGCATAGTGCAATATGGGTGCAATAGCATGGCTATGAGACCCGGGTCCAGCAATAGTAAATCAAGTTTTACAATGTTGGGTGGATGCTCAGGCGTAGGCTTGGAAATACCAAGTCCACAAGCCCAGGTGCCACAGATCCGGGTGTACAATGCAGTGTAGACATACCCTTACAATCCCTACTACAGAGCTTGGTTCTTGAGTTGTTGAGACTCACATTTTATACTGCTTTTCCAAAGCACAAGGTGCCCAATGTCCATTCTGTCACTTTTAACCCATTTTCTATTTTTAAAAAGTGGGGTGGGGGAGTGAGACAGAGGAAAAACAGTCAAACAAAAACCCCACAATTGGAAGCATTCTTTATTCCAAATTTAGTTTTTATCACCAAGTGTGTTGAAAGTGACTGGCAGCTGGGACTCACACAGATGGTGAAAGGGCAGCGTAGCACTTGGGGCTGGAGAAGTGATCAAAGTAACCCAGGGAACTTATTTTTAAAAAAGAAAAATATTAATATACTCAAAACGGTAGGGAAAGGGTGTTCATAAACTTTAGCCTAGTGTTCTTGGTGATCCTTCTCCTAAGAACTGTTTTCCATAGTGGAAAGATACCCTGCATATATCCAAGAAATTATTTTTATATTCTTCTAAGGAATATTTTAATTTAAGGAGCCGTAATCTAAGAGCATTAGTTCTCACAGTATGCCGTTGAGCTCTGATCCAACAAAGCACTTAATCGTGTGTTTAACCAGGTGAATAATCCCATTGAATCCAGCTGGTCATATGCTGAAATTAAGCATGTGCTTCAGTGTTTTGCTTGAACAGGGCATTGGTGGCTGAAGTAATGAAGCCAAAGACTGAGTGTCTCATAATGCAGCCCAAGCAGGCATCAAATGCATGCCCTGTAATGGTTTATTGCTATTAACCTGTATTCTACCCATTCTCAAAAGAAGTGAGATTGGACCACTTGTGTCTCAGTGTCCAAGTCTGGCAAGCTTTCCCCAACTGTGGGTCCATACCTGATGCCTCAGAGGCATGCATCCCTATGACATGCTGTGACGAAGTGGGGTTTTATTCATCTTTTTATGTTTGTTGCATGTGAGTCTTACTGTCCTATATTAATACTGTGTGTACCTCCATTTCCCGGTGTACTGCACCAATATTTTGGTGGTGGGAATTGGGTCTGTGATTTTTTGCTGAGGCACTTGGGGCAGGTGAGGTTGCCCAGCTGTCCGCACCTATGTAACCTGAGACCCAGGAGGGAGGCGCGACCAGGTGACACCTTTTGCCTGGGAAGCAGGACAAAGAGAAGGAGGAGGAGCAACGGGATGGGGGGGTGTCAGAGGTCGGATCGCTGTTAGCTTGGCAGTCTGCTTGTGGAGGGGACTGGAAGAGGGGGAGTCTAGGCTGTCTGGCCCAGGAGTCCCCAAGATGGACTTGGCTGAAAGTCACTGATTTCTGTGATAGCAAGCTCTGTTCTATGCTATGTTCCTGTCAACTAATAAACCCGTCTGTTTTACACGCTGGCTGAGAGTCACTACTGGCTGAGGTGTTGGGGTGCAGGGCCCTCTGGCTTCTCCAGTAGTCCCACCTGGGCAGACTTGCTGCGGGAAGCACACGGTGTGGAAGGGGATGCTGAATGCTCCGAGGTCAGACCCAGGAAGGTCAAAGTTGTGTAAGGTTATTGCTCTGGAGACAGTATGCTCAGAGAGATGAGGCATGCTACACCAGAGTCCTGACTGGCTTTGTATGGAGTAGTTTCAGAGAATTGGCGTGGTGATTCCGTGACACATGCCTAATATACTATGTAGTTTTGGAATTAAGAGCATTAATTCCTGCCCAGCCCTGGCGGTGGTGAATTTAAGACCTGAAATAAGAGTTTAGATTTCCTTTATCTTACACAACTGCAAAGGACATTAGCCAAACCATTATTCAATCCTTTGATGGCATTTTGTGTGTTGGAATCTGAATATTTTTAAAATCAGGTAATAGAGAGGAATGAATGTAGATAATTGTTCTATAAAGAAAAGGGTAAAGAGCCATATATATATGTCTAAAACACAAATGACTCTTTCTTCCCCACCCAGTGCGCCGCTCAAAGGCTGCAGATGAGGAAAGGAGCCACAAAGCACGCAGGGCCCGGGATGAATATCGACGGCAATCCTTACGAGCCATCCAGAAAGGAAAAGTGGCTGGCTTGAGTAACCTGTTCAAGGGGACCAGCCTGAATAATGAACCAGTGATAAAGCTGAATAGCAACAATCCTAGCCCACTAATGACGCTCACTGCACCAGCCAGGTTCGTTCTTATTGTAGGTGGCTCAAAAAATTGATCCTCCATTCATGTGCTTTCCACCTCCATTTTAATAAGTGCTTCTTTTATTTTATTTTATTTTTTATTTTATTTTGTTTTATTTGAGATTCTCTACAGTGTTGCTCTTGACCCTGAATAGAAAGGGGATGTTTTAAAAAGATCAATATGCACTGAGTGCATAATGTCAATTAAATGGTGTTTGTTTTTAAAAGGACCTTGTAGCATCTACAAAAAGATGGGTCTTTAAAAAGTCAATGATTTGATACGAATGCAAGGCTGGGATAGAGAATCAAACAAATTCTCAAGCAAATCTTAGTCCTGCAGCCTAGAAATAACTGCTGCTCAAGAGCTCTTTGACACATTTTATAGAGGTGACAACTCCTAATTTCAGTAGTTTTGAGTTTTCTTATGGCAAAATCAAGGGTCTTCTGAGTTTTTTACCTATTGATCTTTCATCTTTCTCTTTCGTAAACCACATGGATTCCAGAAGTGAAAAACAATCCAACACTGCATCCCATCTGCTCTGAAATTTATCAATTGCTCCTTGTGGGTTTATATGTTGCCATCTGACATTATTAATTAGGCTTGGTAAGATGAACAAGATAACAAGAACTGGGCAAGGTGGTAAAGTAAAAAAAATGCACATTCAGGGAAGAAAGAGTAATTCAACTTTTATTTTCCTTTTTACTGCCAAGTCTTGCAATTACCAGTCAATGTGCTTATGATGTCTGGCAGCCCAGCAGCACCAAAAGGACTTCAGTCCCTTCCTGCTTGGGGTTTATGTTCTGTTTTGACAAGCAATCTCTTTGTCTTGTTTATGTGAGATATGGAAACTCACTGCAGATGGGTTGTTGAAATTCCCAGTTTGAGGAATCAAAATTGTTCTGTCTGAAATGTGGTGGGATTGCTACACTTGCAATCAAGCCTCTTGTCAAAACAATCTTCTCATTATTTTTATTTTCTCAAACCACTTACATCAAAGTGTCTTCTCTGAAATAAAGTAATAAACACACTAATAAAGATAGTAAATTTTGAAAACTAGTGGCTATAGAATCATAGAATATCAGGGTTGGAAGGGACCTCAGGAGGTCATCTAGTCCAACCCCCTGCTCAGAGCAGGACCAATCCCCAATTAAATCATCCCAGCCAGGGCTTTGTCAAGCCTGACCTTAAAAACTTCTAAGGAAGGAGATTCTACCACCTCCCTAGGCAACGCATTCCAGTGTTTCACCACCCTCTTAGTGAAAAAGTTTTTCCTAATATCCAACCTAAACCTCCCCCACTGCAACTTGAGACCATTACTCCTTGTCCTGTCCTCTTCTACCACTGAGAATAGTCTAGAACCATCCTCTCTGGAACCACCTCTCAGGTAGTTGAAAGCAGCTATCAAATCCCCCCTCATTCTTCTCTTCTGCAGACTAAACAATCCCAGTTCCCCCAGCCTCTCCTCATAAGTCATGTGTTCCAGACCCCTAATCATTTTTGTTGCCCTTTGCTGGACTCTCTCCAATTTATCCACATCCTTCTTGTAGTGTGGGGCCCAAAACTGGACACAGTACTCCAGATGAGGCCTCACCAATGTCGAATAGAGGGGAACGATCACGTCCCTCGATCTGCTGGCTATGCCCCTACTTATACATCCCAAAATGCCATTGGCCTTCTTGGCAACAAGGGCACACTGCTGACTCATATCCAGCTTCTCATCCACTGTCACCCCTAGGTCCTTTTCCGCAGAATTGCTGCCTAGCCATTCGGTCCCTAGTCTGTAGCTGTGCATTGGGTTCTTCCGTCCTAAGTGCAGGACCCTGCACTTATCCTTATTGAACCTCATCAGATTTCTTTTGGCCCAATCCTCCAATTTGTCAGGTCCCTCTGTATCCTATCCCTGCCCTCCAGCGTATCTACCACTCCTCCCAGTTTAGTATCATCCGCAAATTTGCTGAGAGTGCAATCCACACCATCCTCCAGATCATTTATGAAGATATTGAACAAAACCGGCCCCAGGACCGACCCCTAGGGCACTCCACTTGACACCGGCTGCCAACTAGACATGGAGCCATTGATCACTACCCGTTGAGCCCGACAATCTAGCCAACTTTCTACCCACCTTATAGTGCATTCATCCAGCCCATACTTCTTTAACTTGCTGACAAGAATACTGTGGGAGACTGTGTCAAAAGCTTTGCTAAAGTCAAGAAACAATACATGCACTGCTTTCCCTTCATCCACAGAACCAGTAATCTTATCATAGAAGGCGATTAGATTAGTCAGGCATGACCTTCCCTTGGTGAATCCATGCTGACTGTTCCTGATCACTTTCCTCTCATGTAAGTGCTTCAGGATTGATTCTTTTAGGACCTGCTCCATGATTTTTCCGGGGACTGAGGTGAGGCTGACTGGCCTGTAGTTCCCAGGATCCTCCTTCTTCCCTTTTTTAAAGATTGGCACTACATTAGCCTTTTTCCAGTCATCCGGGACTTCCCCCGTTCGCCACGAGTTTTCAAAGATAATGGCCAATGGCTCTGCAATCACAGCCGCCAATTTCTTTAGCACTCTCGGATGCAACTCGTCCGGCCCCATGGACTTGTGCACGTCCAGCTTTTCTAAATAGTCCCTAACCACCTCTTTCTTCACAGAGGGCTGGCCATCTATTCCCCATGTTGTGATGCCCAGCGCAGCAGTCTGGGAGCTGACCTTGTTAGTGAAGACAGAGGCAAAAAAAGCATTGAGTACATTAGCTTTTTCCACATCCTCTGTCACTAGGTTGCATCCCTCATTCATTAAGGGGCCCACACTTTCCTTTATAATTCAGCCTGAAGTTCTCAGCTTTCTAAATGGAATTATTTACTACAGAACTGGGTGTTTTTTGGTGTGAATTATTTACAAGTAGGGCTGAGAAGACCTGAAATAAGTTTGTATCCTTATCCAGCCCTTGTCCAAAGGTGTTTATCCATCTCCAAGTCGCATCTATGTTTAAAAATTGGTATTGTTTGTTTTTCATATCTTTTAAGGTATCTTTTTGTCATTGTGTATGACTAGATTGTGACTCAGAGTATATACCTGCTGAAGGGAATCAGGGGAGTAAGAACTCTCCTTAAACCCTTGTACAGGCTACCCAGATCTTGGATCTGCATGCTTAGGAATAACAGCTACTTTGTACGTGTGTACTCCCCATATGGGGGGCAGGTGGGTGAGCAGAGAGAGAGAAGGGGCAGAGTCAAAGTATTGATCCTCCAGTGAGGTGGCCAGTTCAGCTAAGCAGGCATGTGGTGTGTTGTAATCTGCTGCTGGTGTGGGACATCAGTAGATTACTGCTTTTTGGAGCAGGAGAAAGGGGGTTAGCACAGTATCTCTAGAGGGGTGAGTGTGAGTCATAGTGCTTCCAGAGGTTAATCCTGGGCTGGTGCAAATTTGTGCACTGCCTCTTCAGTTCAGGGCTACCTAAAGTCACAGTGAAATGATGTTATTTCTCTCTGTGATCTCTATTTCTTTCGCCTTCTATGTTCTTTGAAAAGCTTGTCTCGGTTTTTATTTCCTCCCCTCGTCCTTCTTTCCTGTCTATTTTTCCCTGCTGATTTTCTCTGTGTGTTGAAGCGTTTTGTTCCTTTTACTAATCATCGTTTGTCTCTATCTGTGTGGTTGTTTTTTTTTTCCTTCTGCCCCTACCATGCTTACTTTGTCTACTGTAGTTGTGTAGAAATCGACTGGGAGAAATTTCATGATTTGGCCCTAGGCAGAAAATTGCTATAAAACCAGCCCTTTTAATTCATGCTCAAACAGTTCCCAAAAGGCTGTTTGGAGTCCTGTTTATCTTTTGCTCTTAAACAGAATCAGAGAGAAGTGAGCTCTGGACTTTTGGGTCCAGGAGTGGGTAAACTGTCTAGGCGACCCATACAAAATCTTTAAAAGCAGCAATATCTGGGGAATTAACACGCTGCCTTCATGTGTAGTTGCTTTCTTCTCTGTATGGATAGCACTGTAATCTCTCTGTTATCATAATGTCAGAGCATCTTTTCCATGTACTTAATTTGAATACTCAGGTATTGGTTTGCATATATTTCTGTGTTTGCATTGTTTTTATTTTACTTTTTTTCTGCCTACAAAAATAGGTATTTGGGAATAATTTTTGGTTGCTTATTGTGTTCTTTCAGCAAAGATTTATCTAATTGTGCAAGTTGCATGCTCTTAAAACACACCAGATGTTATAAAAGATAGTTCCTTTGATCTCTGCCTTCACGAGTTCAGAGGCCATTTTCAGAGGGTGGGAAAGAGGAATCCAGAAGGGGGAAGTTTTGGGGCCCTGAGAAGAAAGCATGCATAAATGGGCAGCAGTATATTTCATCTACTGGAGTTCCCTTCCCCTTCCTCACTGGGTTCCATCTTTTGGTTCAAGTGGGTCAGGCTCAGTTGAGTGTGGAAGAGCTCTTGACCCTCTGTGGGCTCTGCAACATCCACATCCCCCTCCTAAACAAGCTGACTTTCATGTTGCAGTTGTGTGGTCCCTTCCTTCAGATGTTGCGAGGTGTCCATTGTCATTTGTGGGGCGGTGATGGGGTCACCACTCAGTATGGCATCTAGCTCCACATAGTAGTGGCAGCCCTTGAGGATAGCACCAGATTTTTTGTCCCCTGCTTTGTCTTTTGGTAGGACTGATGCAGTTCTTCTCTCTTTGCCAGACAGTGCTAATTGTCCCTGTTGTACCTCTGGCCTTTGCAATATCCAAATAAACATCTTTATTTCTGCAGCAGTTCCACATCTGGGCTTGTACAGCCCCTCTACTCTCACAGGCTGATGAAATCCAGGAATTCTTTCCTGGACAGGAAGCAGCATGAGGTTTACCTGAGCTTTTTTTAGCTATAGCTTTACCTGGAATAATACCTGAATTCTAGTATACCAAAGGTAGGCTAGTAGGATGAGAGGAATTTCCAAACATATTGGGGATTTTAAGAGGTGGGGAAGCTTCCCCTAGGCAGCAGAGTTCAAAAATTTGAGAAAAGCAGTCACTGCTGTGGGACCAGGGGCCTTGCGGTTCTTTTGCCGGAGGACAATTTGTGCCGGTACAGGTAATGCAGCATCCACACAGGCATTATACTGATGAAATGGTGCTGGTACAGGATTTATGCCATTTGGGGAGGTGGTTTAGCTTGAATGGGACTGGCAGGACTCAAAACTGGCAGGACTCAAAACTGGCAGGACTTTGCTGGCAGGACTCAAAACTGAGAATGGATGTGTGCAAGGATGTGCCAACAGAAGGGAAAACTGGTAAAACCTTGTAGCATAGACCAAGCCTTAGAGCATATCTGATTGATATTCTGACTTAGGTCTCTGTCTTGCCACTTGAACTGAGACTCCTTGGGGTCAGCTTTAGGTGTTCTGCCATTTACGCTAAAGGCCTAATTCTGCTTCTGTTGAAATCAGCAGCCAAACTGCCATTGACTTCAGTGGAAGCAGGACCCAGAACCCTGAGGAGGATATCCATCAGATGTCAAGAGCACTCAATAGTCTCTTGCATGGCCTCCAATCACTAGAGGGCAAGCTTATCATTATCGAATACTACAGGATCTAGAAAAGGAGTACTTGTGGCACCTTAGAGACTAACCAATTTATTTGAGCATAAGCTTTCGTGAGCTACAGCTCACTTCATCGGATGCATAGCTACAGCTCACTTCATCGGATGCACTGTGGCACCTTAGAGACTAACCAATTTATTTGAGCATAAGCTTTCGTGAGCTACAGCTCACTTCATCGGATGCATAGTGCATCCGATGAAGTGAGCTGTAGCTCACGAAAGCTTATGCTCAAATAAATTGGTTAGTCTCTAAGGTGCCACAGTGCATCCGATGAAGTGAGCTGTAGCTCACGAAAGCTTATGCTCAAATAAATTGGTTAGTCTCTAAGGTGCCACAAGTACTCCTTTTCTTTTTGCGAATACAGACTAACACAGCTGTTACTCTGATACAGGATCTAGTTTGTTTTGTTGGTTCTTGGTTGTCTGGTAGGTTATAGTGGTGCTTCTCTGTAATTGTCCAGTTGATATCCTGATTCTGAAGGAGTTGTAATTCAAAACAATACTAGTTGCATAACTTACTCAGGTTGCCTGCAAATATGGATCATTAAATTATAGCTCCATTGTAGGCAGAGCACAAGATGCGAGAGCTAGAAAAATGCAGTGAGCTAAACAGAAACAGAGGACTTACAAGATGCATAAGTAGGGACATAAGACCTGTGGAGCAGTAGTAGAAGTAGGGGGAAGGAAAGGCACCTCAGAGTGACATTCCAGAGAAATGTTTTCTCTCCATGTTTTCCTGTGGTCAAGGCATGCCAGTCACAATGGCTGAATCTGGCTTAACTTGCAGGGGATTCACACAAAAGGTAAAAAGTAAGGTTTTTTGCCTGCAAATAATAATCTCTTGTCTATGAAAAATTAAAAGAAATCGGAGTGAATAATAGAGCAGGTTGAACATTTTCCATTAAATCTTATTGACAGAAAATGGGTATTGGACAAAACTGAAGTTTTAGTGATGGAATTTCTTTTGTCAAAAATGTTTGGATTTTTATGAGAAAACAAATCCGCACCTTCCCTACCCAAAAGAAATCTGGTTATTCAATGAAATCCAAAAAAATTGATAAGTGGGGGAAAAACAGTTGTTTTTGTTAAAAATTTTTTTTTTTGCTGTGCGAAGGAAAATATTCCCAGTGAACTCTAGTGATTAGCCTCTGTTTCCCCTACTCTATGATCATGGTGCAAGTTATTTTTTGTACTACAGCTGCATGACGTATATCTCCCATTGTTTGTATTTTAAATGTAGGAAAGCTTGGGAACGTCCTTCTAGACCCAATTCCAGAGAAATCCTCATTCATTGGTTCAAGGAGGAGCAGCTTCCACGACGTGCTGGGTTTGAGAGGAACACCTGTGCTGTTGCGCCCTGGTTTCACGGTAATTCAGTTATCTTTATTCTTTCATATAATTGAGCCTGAAGGACGTTCTGGGTTGAAGTGGTGGGTTACAAAATATCTTTTTTTTTTTAAAGAAACACAATAGGCACTCTCAATCACATCACTAGTCGGGAATAATCTTGTTCACCTTCCTTACAGAGGCTGGTATAAAATGCGTTGCTGACTGACAAGTAATGTCTATCCATTATCTTTATCATAGAGAGACTATTCTTCCCCATTTTCTTTTCCTCTGTTTTGTAGTCCAATTTGTGACACTTACCAGTTGTCCTCCTATTTCTCAGCATTATCAGAGCCTGAACTGCTCAAATGGAGATCTTGAATAACATTTGGGACAGATGTATGTGTAACACTGACAGACCTCGGTCGTTGGCTGGCAGGATCGAACCTGGGACCTCTGGAGTTTAGTACATGAGCCTCTACAGCATGAGTGAAAAGACAATTTGCTGTTAGCCAAGGCTGTAGAGCAAACTCATTAATCTCTCTCTCTCTCTCTAAGTCGTCTCAGTGCCACTAGATGGGACAGAACACCACACCCCAAAGGTGTATGGGTTAAACGTGCACACATGCAAATCTCATTTTCATCTTGCATTACAAACACAGTTTATACTTGCTGTAATTATATAGGTGGGAACCAAACATTCTGGCCATTAGTATAAAGCATAGCTGACACAAAAACTTCTATTTATGAGCTTGAATGTATTTTAGATCCAAGTCATAATACTCTTTTCCTCTGAATGTTAGGAATTAGAGCATTATAGTAGGTGTGGTGGGCCTGACCTTTGTTTGACCCTAATTGTCGTTTCTTATTATGGGGTGGTGTTTTTAGAGAATCCCTCACTTTCCTTGAGAGCTCTTTGACAGGTGAGCCTCCCTCACTCCCTGCTTATCAAGGCATAAATAAGTTAAATGTACATATGGAGAATCATATCTCAACTAATCATCTGTTACAAGCAAAAAATGAAGAAATATAATTATTGTCAGCTCTTGTCTGTCTCCAGGTTGTGGTTCCAAATCTTTCTCACTATACATAAGTTCTTACTTAAATATTTTAGAACACATCAGCAAGCTGCTATTTTCAATGGCTTGGTGCTTCAAACAAAAAGAAAGAAGTGGCTAGCTCGTAAATATTATACATTTCCATTTTTTATGAGCAGTAATGCAGATGAAAGATGGGCCTGTAGATACAGATATTTGACATGGGATCTCTCTAAGAGTTAGTTAATGCAATAATTGTATTTTTTGTAGTTTTCAGTATATGGGGAAGGGCCTCCTGGGTGACTAAGCATGCCTCTCAGTTGTGCCAAGGTTTTAGATTGATGTGGTAAATTTGCTCCAGTTTCCAGCAGCCTGGCTGCCACACCTTATAATTCACCTCCCCCACCACTTCGATCACTTCTTAGGAGTCTCTGCCGCTGGGCCAAAAGTTTACTCTCTGCTGTGGGCACCAGTGCCATCACCCAGTCTCCAGGTTGGAACCGTCAAACCTTTGCTTGGTGGTTGTAATGGGTCTCCTGTGCTTTCTCCAAGTGTTCCCATACAATGGGCGTAACTTTGGCTATACGATCTCTTATCTGCAGTACATACTCGACTGTGTTCCTTCCGGGATTTGGCTCCTCTTCCTGTCTTCTCTGGCTATATCCAATATGCCCTGGGGGTGGCGCCCGTATAGTAGTTTGAATGGAGAGAAGCCCATAGAGGCTTGTGAGACCGCCCGGATGGCAAACATGAGGTAAGGCAGTAGGGTATCCCAATCTTTCTCATCCCAGTTTACCACTTTCCTGATCAAGGCCATTGGTTTGAGGGTGGTATACAGAAGTCCGTAGGGCTTGTACGTGGAGCAAAGAACAGAGATCTTTCATCAGCTTGATCAGTCAATATCTCCTTGAGTAGCCCAACCTCGGCAAAGATCTGTACTAACTCCTTAGCTATTGTCTTGGAAGCCGTGTTGCATAGGGGGACGGCTTCCGGGTACTGGGTTGCATAGTCCAGGACAACTAGTACATGTTGGTGGCCCATGCTGTCTTCTCTAGGGGCCCTACCAGATCTATGGCTATTTGTTCAAAAATTATCTCTATTATTGGAAGAGGTATCAAAGGGGCCTTCAAGTGTGGGCAAGGGCTATGCAGCTGACACTCCAGACAGGAGGTGCAGTACCGTTGGACATCTTTGTGTACTCCTGGCTAGAAGAACCTCCGCAGGATCCATGCCTGGGTTTTCTCTACCCCTAGGTGTCCTCCAAAAAGGTGACTGTGGGCAAGGCTCAATATGGATTTTTGGTGCTTTCGTGGCACCAGAAGTTGCTGTATCTCTTGCTCCTGCATTTGCACAACCCAGTACAGGAGATCTTTCTTCACTATAAAGTAAGGTCTCAGGCCATAGACCTTCCCATCCACAGGTATCCTGTCTATCTCAGCCACCTTTCTCCTGGTGTTGTTATATCTGGGGTCCTCTGCTTGGTCCCATCCAAAAGTTTCTCCTCCAGGACTAACCTGCCTGAGCTTCCAGGGGCCGGCTTCTTCTTCTTCCAGCGGCTCACCGCTGTCACAGCTGGGGCTAGCCTCTGGACTCACCTTCCACGGTCAAAGTTTCTCTGTCTGCTGTCCATGTCTATCTGCCTACTAGGGAGGTCCTCTGGCCCTGGGTCAGGATCTGGGTTCCTAAGGCCTTCCTCTCTTTTGGTCTTCCGGGTCTTTCTGGGAGCAGGGAACAGATCCTGAGAAATCTCAGAAAACATCGGGGGTTGACATTCCCACGGTGACAAGTCATTGCCCTCACTGTCCCCTCCTGCCTCCAGCCTTTCCAGGAGAAGTAAATTATCAAACCCTGGATAGTCCCTCCCAATGACTATGGGATATGGGAGTTTAGGAACTATGCCTACTGTCACCTCAATGGGGTTCCCCTGAATCTCTATCTCTACTGAGATGGTGGGGTAATAGCTTACGGCCCCATATACGCATGTCACTGCTACTTGTTTGGCCTGTAGCAGCTGGCTACTTTTTACCAGCTTACCCGATATGAGGGTGATAGCACTCCCAGAGTCCACAAGTGCTGTAGTCTCCACCCCGTTTATTCTCACCAGCCTGGTGTAGTTATGCGGGGCTACTGCGACCCCTGCGAGGTGGATAAGGGAGCATGGGACCTCCCAATCCCCCAAGTTACATTGCATAGGCTTCTCAGTGCTGGGACACTGTGCTGCTATGTGTCTCCACTCCCCACATGCATAACGTCTATAATTGCTTCCAGTCACTCCCCTATCACGTGGGTTAGGGGGTTTAGTCTCAGGGTTCCCCCCACTCAGGCCATTCCCTTCCTTCTGGGATCCTAGCTGGTTTTCAGCCGCCCTCTTCGACCACCTAGGGCTCCCCGGGGGTTTGGCCACCCAATCTTCCAGGGTTGGGGTGAGGTGCTTGCTTCACAAGGGGCCTTCCGTGGGAAATGGGTCAGTTCTCTCACAGTCATCTGTCTTTCTATCAGCGTGATCATTTCGTGACAGGTGGATGGATTGTTCTGGCCTACCCATTTGCGGAGATCTGGCGGCAGTTCCTGCATGTGATGGTCCATGACCAAAGTCTCCAAAATCTCCTCCGGACTGCATACCTCGGGCCGTAACCACTTCTGCACAAGGTGTATGAGGTCAAATAGCTGGGATCTCAGAGGTTTGTTCTCCTGGTATTTCCACTCATGAAACCTCTGGGTCCATATTGCTGCCATCATCCCTGATCGGGCTAGGATCTCTGTCTTCAGCTGGGGATAGTCAGCAGCATCCTCGGCAGGTAGATCAAAGTAGGCCTTCTGGGCACCTTTGCACAAAAAGGGTGTGAGAATGCTGGTCCACTGCTCCTGGGGCCACACCTCACGCTGAGCAGTCCTCTCTAATGAGAGGATATATGCCTCTATGTCATCTTCTGTTGTCATCTTTGTCAGACAACCAGTGGCCCTCAGGGTTCATGTCCTGTTGGACCGCCGGGCCTGGGTGGTGAAGATCTTCAGCTGGTCCAGTACCTCTCACAGGAGGGCTTGATCTTGGGTTGCCTGGCTCACCAAAAATTGGTTGGTTTCCTGCAGTAGCTGCATAGGCTTCTGTTGCGCCATCGCCTGAACCTGGGAGGCCTCCTGTTGGGGCACCGTGGCTTGCGCCAGAGCTCTCACCACCTACTCCACTGTGGTACAGAACAAAAACCCCAAACCACAGTGCACTCCTTTTTTTAAACCTCTTTTTCTTCTGCCACACTGTGAACAATGTTTCAGAGTGGTAGCCGTGTTAGTCTGTATCAGCAAAAATAATGAGGAGTACTTGTGGCACCCTAGAGACTAACAAATTTATTTGAGCATACGCTTTCGTGGGCTAAAACCCACTTCATCAGAAGCATGCAGTGGAAAATACAGTAGGAAGATATATATATACACAGAGAACATTAAAAAATGGGTGTTGCCATACACGCTATAACGAGAGTGATCAATTAAGGTAAGCTATTATCAGCAGGAGAAAAAAACCTTTTGTATTGATAATCAGGATGGCCCATTTCCAGCAGTTGACAAGAAGGTGAGAGTAACAGTGGGGTGGGGATGGGGGGGGCAGAATAAGCATGGGGAAATAGTTTTACTTTGTGTAATGACCCATCCACTCCCAGTCTTTATTCAAGCCTAATTTAATGGTGTCCAGTTTGCAAATTAATTCCAATTCAGCAATCTCTCATTGGAGTCTGTTTTTGAAGTTTTTTTGTTGTAATATTGTGACTTTTAGGTCTGTAATCAAGTGACCAGGGAGATTGAAGTGTTCTCTGACTGGTTTTTGAATGTTATAATTCTTGATGTCTGATTTGTGTCCATTTATTCTTTTACGTAGAGACTATCTGGTTTGGCCAATGTACATGGAAGAGGGGCATTGCTGGCACATGATGGCATATATCACATTGGTAGATGTGCAGGTGAATGAGCCTCTGATAGTGTGGCTGATGTGATTAGGTCCTATGGTGGTGT